AGTATTTATTTGCTAGTCGCAATGCGCCACCCTACTTTAGCCATAAACCCAGGGTCCCGGGGCAAATCAAAAGTGAAACCTGATTCAGTCCTTCACAACAACCTAGTAATTTCCAGACCAGAGTTAAAAAAAATTAGCAGCTGGATAAATCTTGCAAAGTATTGTATTTTTTAAGTTAAATTTATGGATATCGATTCCCCGTTCGTATCATTATCTCTTTGAGCCCTGAATCGAGCGACCCACTGGGAGCAAATTTTTCGTTGCTTCTATTCATGATGTAGCCGACAATCATGTTGTAAGCTGCCTCCGTTCCGGTTACTTAAACTATTGCGCAAACTAGAACATATATTTAACTCTTATTTTTCAGTCCAAAAGAATGGTGAACATATGAAAGTCGTTAAAATCTGTTCAAAGCTGCGAAAATTCATTGAAAGCCGTAAAGATGCCGTGCTGCCAGAACAAGAGGAGGTCCTTGCAGACCTCTGGGCATTTGAGGGGATCTCCGAATTTCAGATGGAACGCTTTGCCAAGGCTGCACAGTGTTTCCAACACCAATATGAACTCGCTATCAAGGCGAACCTAACTGAACATGCTTCTCGATCTTTGGAAAACTTGGGTCGTGCGCGGGCAAGGCTATACGACTATCAAGGTGCACTGGATGCGTGAGTGATTAACTGTATTTTTTATTCCAGCACGACTCCATAATCATGATCATCATAATCATCAGCAACGGCAGATTCTGAATCTTAACTGTTACCAAGAAATACTAATACCGCATGCATAAATACCGTCGTTTACATTTGTCATAAACCTGAAGTCTTGTCCACGGAATCATACCGCATCGTTTCTTGCCTTAACTATTTAGCCCTGAAAGCCTGCCTTTTAAAGTAGGTATGTAAAAGTGCTTTTATGAGGTTAAAGTTTCTGACGCTGGTTATAGTTAGCTACGATAACTAAGATAGCTTAATCTAACTCTTTTATTTTAAAGGCCGAATCCACTTAAGCTTGCTGAAGCTTGTGATGTGAAATCCATAGCCTCACGCCTCCTCTCGTTCTCGGAGTGATTTTATTGAACCCTGAGTTTCCTTTGGGGAAGCCTACGCCATTCTACCCGAACCAAAAACACCTGCTTAGGTTACTTTTGATTAAGAACCAAAACAACTGCCCTTCGAAAGTCGTCCCACCGTTCAAATTAAATTTCCATCCCAGGCTGACTAACTGAGTTTAACTTGTTTTGTACATCCAGTCGTGTCGTTAAGGAAACCTGTTGAACTAGATCTACCTTAAAACTGTTGAGTTTAAATTGGAGAACCCTGGCATTAGCGTAACCAGTACGTTTATCAATGTCACGTACAACACAAGGCAGCTTCCGTTATGTTGGGAGCAAGTGGTATTCAAGACATTTTTTGTTTTGGTCTCTGGGTGGCATTGGGAAACCACCTCGGTTTAGTACACGAGACTGACACCCCTCTCAGTAGGTTTTTGCTTCCTAATTTGCCGGCATATACCGCAAGACGTCTTTTTTTACTCGAATCAGTCGGTGGGCGGTTATTATGCGATGATGTGTTGGTGGTCGGAGCTGCAACTGAAAAGTAATCCCGCAGCTAGTAGTTTGCGGCGAGTGATGGTAGAAAGAAGACCAAACGCCCAACTTCGTATATGTAGTTTATGCTTGAACACGTCAATACTCCAAGTAAATAAAACTGTGTTAGTAATTTTTCAATATAGTGTCCTTTAATTACAAAAGGGTTGACGAATGGTCCTGCAACCACAGTTTGATGATTACCTTTTAGAATGTTTACTGAAGCGATTTAAGTAGCCATTATTACGATGGCTTGCATGCATTTAGACAAATAAGGATAGGGATTCTCGGGGATGTTTTGGGATGCGGAGAATAATATTAATCTGGTAGTGGAAGTATGCATTAGATGAACGTGTGTTGGGCAAAACATTTGGGTTTAGGATTGCGGTGGGTTTGTGTTATGACCTAAGACAGGCTAATAATGCCAACTTTAAATTCCAACCCTGACCATTAGCTGCAACTACTAATCCTAACTAATAATCATATCAGCCAACGCTAACTGTTATTCTTGACAAATAACGCTACCTACTTTCTCCATTTAGCGACAATTACTACTTAGTCGAACGTCTAGCTCTATCAACTGAGCCCAGTTCAAAACCCCTAGCTCCGGCCGGAAACAAAATCCCAGATTAACTAGGGCTTAGCCTACACCTAAAGCCTTAATATACTGGTCCCAATCTTAGAGCCCCTGCTCGCTGAGTTACGCAACCAAATCCAAAGGTCTGTCCATAACTGCCCAAGAAGATGCAAGTCCGTATAATCATGACTAATTAACCAATCTTAGTAAGACTACCACAAAGTAACAACCAATTGAGCCTGCCGGAACATCCGTATCGTACAACCATCCCTAGTGCGATTTCAAACACGGCCTGAAAAAGGGTAGCTGATTTCTTTATGAAAGTGAAGTTATCGAGGGAGCAGCCGTTATACGGCTCTATGAACCTACTTTTGTACAAATAATACCTTCCCAGCAGAAAGTGGTCGAATTCGAACACAGATTCCAGTTCTCTAAAAGTTCAGTATGTCATAACTGTCCTTAGCTTCCTCGTGAACATATATCTGTCGTGCATGCAGGATAGAATACCGTCAATTTCGATTCACATTTTGGTTGATTGTCTGTATTCCATGCAGGCGGTCGCGTGATGACTGACGGTTACTAGTAGAAGAGTGTTACCGTCACGTACAAGGAAACATATGGGCAGATATCTAGAAACATGTTCTTTCATTATTCTACTGATTCAATGCAGATAGGTCTTGGTGGCGAACTGTTGAAACTTACGCGGTAATATTCTCATATGCTGATGCCTATTGATACATATATGCACTTATTATAGATATTATAGGTAATTTATTAGGAGTAGTTGTGCTTTGTACTGCACAAGAAAACTCGAAAAACTTTAGCTTCCTGTGTATACTTTTAGTTTTATTAGTTTAAGTTTAGTTTATAGTTTATTGTTTAGTTTATTAGTTTTATTTTAGTTCGCTCAAAGTTTGATTCAATTTAGTTCTTTAAGCAACATATGGCTCCTTGTTGGCTTATCGTCGTAAACTGTCTGTCAGAATGCATGAGAAGCCGTTGTGAGTTTTAAAAACTGGGAGAAAAGACTATCTCTAAGTTTCTATATAGAGTCGATATTGGTTTGTTGCCTGTTTGTAGGTATTTTTGCGCAGATCTTGTTTCCTGTTGGTTATATTTTTTCATTTTAATTGTCGTGAGCAAGATTTTAGTCAGTTTAATAACTTTTTCCTATTATTTTCTGCTTTATACACTAATATTCTTAATTTATTTTTTTTAAATTCTGTGATATGATCCAGCCGGAATACCCCTATTAACGTCACTTCCCTAGGACACAATGTTAGAGCTAGCGATATCTAAGTACCTCAGTATATGAGAATATTGCCAGTTATGCAATAATCCTGATTAGTTGCATCAAGCTCAGCATGAAGCGCTACTAGTCTAAGTGGTGTACTCGATGACACTGCAAGCTGAGCGGAAGGGTCCTGCTTTCACTCGTTGCGACTTTGCCCGCCGCTTGAGTAACTATTTACTCGGGAATAGATATAAATTTTTACGTTGAATCTTTCATCTTCTCGACTATTTAGGTGGACAAAGCGACTGGATTATGAGATTAAGGGCATAGACAAGGCGTGGTTGCATCACGAAATCGGTCGCGCGTATCTGGAATTGAACCAATACGAGGAAGCCATTGATCATGCTGCAACGGCTCGCGACGTTGCGGATCGCGAGGCCGACATGGAGTGGGATCTCAACGCCACCGTCCTAATAGCACAGGCTCACTTCTATGCTGGGAACCTAGAAGAGGCAAAGGTTTACTTTGAGGCGGCCCAGAACGCTGCCTTCGTAAGTCTTGACATTTTGAATGACTCAGTCTTAAATAAGCCTGCAATATCAGCAGCAGAGTGAAATCAGTTTGACTTTATGTATACTTTTGTGCTCCGTTGCTGCATTTAACAAGGCCCTGCCTTGACAGTACAGACAAGCTGAATAAGTCAGTTAGAAGAATTATTGCTATTTATGCACACTCTGTTAACATAGGTTTAACAGCGGCTAGCATACAGTAGTCACCGGTTATTAAGCCCACGGTTAATAGGCCCAGCCGCTTATTAAGCCCAATTTGGTCTGGGCCCAGGGTGGGCTTAATAACCGGAAACTACTGTATTATGCCAGTTAACTTGCCATACACGGCTTTAGATGAATTAAGCCTCTTTACAGACATGAACAAGATTAGTCTTATTTGCTTTTTTCCTCAATTCGATTAGCCCCGCCTGCCCAGTCAAAAGTTTTCATGGATACACTAAATTCCACGCTATTTATACGCTTTGAAATATCCCAAGCAGCTTTTGAATCAATAGGCCAGTGATAAGATCAATATACCCGCTAAGTCTGATTAACTAAATACTTGGGCCTTAATATGTTCTGTGATTGAACAGCCGTAGCCAGATTATGCCGACCAGAATCCGCACGAAATAATTTTCCCTGTACGCGAAATAGCGTTAGATAGATAGAAATTCTGCAAATTAGTCACTTTTTCAGTCGAAACTACACATAGCACAGACTGGACGCATTCTCTGATAGAGCATGTACGAGAGCATACTGACTGTAGGACAGATTACCACGCGTTATTACCATACTTTCCGCATAAATGAGTTGTTGATGTTTGATGTTGCAAGTTGCTATAGTAACAGACTGTTGCAGTGCAAAACTAACAGGTTGGCAAAATTCGAGGGTCCGTTTAAGGAATCAAATAGTCTTCGCATTCAGCAGTGTGCACCGTTAAATACCTGCATCTTAATTCCGAAATCAATCAGATTCCTGCCAAAAGTGTTTCCTTTTCGAGCCTGAAGATAAGATGTTTGGCGCTAGGCAGAGTTTATGCTTCATACCTCGTTTAATAATGTTCACAAGCCGAGCGACCATTAAATGGCATTGTTTACTTATTTCTTTAAAACAGAGAAAGGGCTTCTTCAAGGCTGAAAGTGTTTTGGCCGAAGCAATTGCTGAAGTGGATTCAGAAATTCGTCGCGAAGAAGCGAAACAGGAAAGAGGTATGTCATGTTTGCCAAGGTCAAAACAGTCCGTTTAACCCCTCGTCCGTTTTGAGATATCTCAATTTAGAAAAAGCGAAGTAAAGAATTACCGAAAGTTCCTTAGGGTTACATGCTCAAAAACAAATGTTTTCCTAAGCAACACCCAAGCGGCTTTGTTACTGGCGTCTAATATCGACTTCTATGTACACTCAACAAACTATTCAGATCAATTTTATTTTCAGCATTTTTAAGTACCGTGTATTTGTTTAATTCATACGGTTACCGGTGACGAGATGATTGGTACAGTAAGCATACGCTTATAAGTTGTTCTCACTTACTTGTACTTGTTATGGCGTCGATCATGCCAAATGGTTGGTGACCCGCGTATCCACACGTGGCGGATAGTGGAACGGCCTTCCCTGAAGGTACGTTGAGAAATAGGCAGACTATCGAGTCTGACGAATAAGCAGTCACAGGCTATCAGCGACAGTGCCACCAGGGCTGATGTCTGGCAAACCGAAAGCCTTATAAGATTTGGCAAAGCCTGACGACGGCAGTATGGCAAAGCGATCATGAACCGCCGTTAAATAATTTTCCTTGGCATAGCTGTCGTGTGGTTAGATTATTGAAGCAAAACGCTAGAGGAGACGAGCTCGAACAAACAATCCAAGCGACTGTTGGGGACCTGTTTGACTTGGCAATTCCAAAGAAACCTCATAAAAATTGTGTCCGATAACAAAACAGTAAAACTATGCGCTCTTCCTTGTAGTTATTTATGTCGCAAATACCGACTTTGTGGCTGCATTCTACCCGCATTTTACAGTGCCCTTTGTCAACCCCACCGGCGTTCACAGCGCTGGTAACTGGCGCCCCCCGTTGTTTCGTGCCGTCGAGTCAGCGCGTGGAACCGCATGTAGGAGCGGACGGGGGAGGGGAACAAATCAAAGTGCTGGTCGGCAGAGCAGTCGATGCACATCCAAGCGTCTTGCATTTGCCTTGGCAGTCCACAAGATGAACGACGTCGAAGTTAAAGATGCGTCTCATCTGCGCGGCATGGGTTGCGTTTTTAGCTGTCGTCTGGCTTTCATGACGTACTTGCGCATCCCGTAGCTGCACTGAAGTTGATAAGCAACGGTTGACATCTCTTGATTATGGATAGTGTATTGGCCGCATCACTTGTCGGGGGCGGGACTGGTGAATTTGACTTGTAACTCACATTCCTAGTAGTGCGCGGGACTTAGTAACGGCTGGGAGCCCCCCTTCTTGTACGGAATGCTCCGCCACGACTTCGGCTGACTACGCGCTTCGTTCCACCTCCTTTGTCACATTCAGTTCTTTCAAGTAAAGGCGTCCTTTGGGAAAATCAATAAATTCATTCAGTAAATTTTCGACACTGGATCCCCAGGTCATTGTCAGACTTGAGAGAAATGGGCAAAGAACTGAATTGTTCTTTGCCCATTTCTCTCAAGTCTGACGACGACCTTGGGATCCAGTGTCAAAAATTTACTGAATAAATTTATTGATTTTCCCAAAGGACGCCTTTACTTGAAATTACATTTCTTAAGATGCCTGTCTTTCAGTTTATACGAAACATTCAGTTCTGTTCAACGAATTCTCGCAGAGAGCCGTTTGGTCTGAAGAGTACTCGGAGGAGCTTCATCTCTTCCCATTTGCAGTTGTCATGCTGCGATGCGTTCTCGCTCGCCAGTGTACTGTGCATCTACAGTTTCGCTCGTGTTATAACTTGTGATTGCGCATCACATTTTTATGAATTTTGATGAATCCCCGTATCTGACATTAATCGGCGCTAATCTGAAGGCCTCGCGCCACTCTGTCCTTCCGTTTCGAATGTCAAATACTATCGGTCAAATGTCTTCCTTTATTCCTTAAAAGATGGTTCTAAGGAGGCTTTTGAATGACAACATAATGTCTGTTTCCAGTTGAGTAGTGAAAAAACAGCAAGATCTAGGAACTAGTGTGGCGTGTAATGAGAAGGGTAACTCGACCAGTTCACTCAAACTACTCTGACTACGTTCTTGTAATCAATGGGATTGGCTGCTTCGAGAGCCGGCTAGACTACTTTATTTGAAGGAACATTCCTGGGCAACCTCTTATTTATATTCGTCTTACTGATGTACATTCCAGTATTGCCGGAAGCATTGTCATTGTACGCAAACCTTTGAGATAATTGAAATAGCGTGACAGGTGTGAACATATCTTTCCATACATAGAAAGTCCGCACGAATAGCATCGTTTTGAGAAGCGACGCCATCTGATCCTTTTTGAGAATACTTTTACCTGCTTATACATTAGAACTGACAGTTGTCTGTGCTTGAAAATTGAATTTTCTAGTGTGGCTCTCGAAAATAATTCATGGAAACCCGCGTCAAAAGTTGCCGATTTCTGCTCATATAACAAATAAGTACTAGAGGAATGCCCTATGTTATCTGTTAGTTTACTGTTCCGCGTAGGTCAGTGTGTGCCTGTGGGTCAATTCAGTAGGTTTGTGGGGGTGTTGAGAGAGTTATTCATGGTATCTCATCAGGACTTAAATCCGGGATTATATGCACATAGAGTCTGTGAACATATGCAGGAAATTGAGGTTTCTTTGACCTTTTATCCTATTATAGAGGGCAATCATTAGCATTCGATTAGGGCTATTTACTAAAAGGCACTTTCAAATCCGCTGTTTTGTAACCAAAGCAGCTGACTGCCTTCCAAATGACAACACAAAAATAACTTGCCAGTTAAAAAGGAGGGTATCAGATGCCGAAACTAGTCCCAATTAAAGTCTGCATGATGCACGAAGTCGAAACTTAGGTGATTATTTACCAAGATTTCTCTAATATTTCCTCTTTCTGTGATTGATTTTAGATCAAGCAAAAGTCAGAATGTCTGGTAAGATCCTTCTCTTTCACGGAAAACGACGCCCTTGATATGTCACATACGGTCTTAAGGGATGCAAAACAATTTATATAAACTTCCTCGAGGATATTTTATACAAACTTTACCGACACTAATTAGGCTATTCCTCATGCATTCGTTTGATTGAAAACTGCATGACTTTTCCTATTGCTTCTACCTTTAGTCCAACCTGCGTAGTGCTTTTAAAACGGGCTATAGAGCCTGTGCCTGTCAGGAGACTTAAAATTGTCTGAATGGATAAGCGTATATTTATAATCCCTTCAAGCTATGGACCTTACCATGTGCTCTTTGTGTTAAGTTGCAATTTGTTCGTCTACTCAGTTGTAATAGAAGTCACAGGAAGGCTCACAGTGCAGAAGGCAGTTATATCCGTCAGACGTTTCCCACTTCTGCCTTTTAACGATCCTTTGAGTAGAAGCTTAATCAACGCAAACTGATCTGTTTTGCGTAAAACACTAATTAGTTGGTAGTTTGCCATAGGTGTTTCTCAGTATGGGAATAAAAAGCCTTTTTATTGCAGCGTTTCGACATGACACCATTTTTATTGATTTAAGGATAAAAATGGAGTACTATGAAAGACAGAAACAATAGGGTAGACATTTTTCTTTTATTGCTCCATTAGAATATGTCCTTTTGGCAGGAAAGTATTAGGGCTACGCAGATTTATTTATTTAACATTTTTTAAGATAAAATCATATACCTCTTCAAAAGATCTTCCATCAGGCGAGATGAATTTGGCCCAGCGGTTTTTCCACTGTTCAAAATATGTTTTTCTGTTTACCTGAACTGATGCTGCTGTTAAGCATCTCTAGCCATTTTCCTAAACTTCACTTAAGATTATACACATTATTGGGAATAGGAACCAGTCGCACGAGGTTTTGTAGAACAAGTAAGAGGTTTGAGAAAGCGTTGTGATACAATTTTCGCCAAAAACTGGATAATGTTGAACGCTGTATGGGTAGACGCGTTGTCAGGATGAAACAGCCAATCCCCTGATCGCCAGAATTCAAAACATTATTTCTCGTATTACCTCATGTAGTCGCTTTAGTACTTGCAGATAGTAGCGGTCGTTCACTGTGATGTCATGAAGAACAACTTCAATGCAACTGAATGCTTCGATGTTGAAACAGCGAAGCATCCTGGACGCGTCACTGCTTAACGTCTGCCACCACAACGTTGCCGAGAACGTTGGGAGGATGGTTGATAGAACAATCACTCTGTCCACCAGAATGGCTTCCCATGAACGCTACTTGGCCAACTGAACAGACGGATGGTTTACTAAGCGTAGCTAGCACGAGAGGGCAGCCATACCGACCCACAGGCTAAGAGAAAATAATTCTCGTTTTTTGGGTTCTCCCTGCATTACTCACAAAGATTTTTTTGTGAAAGCCTCTCAGTAGTTTGAGCGTTTGTTGGGAGAGTATGCTGGTTCACTGGTGCCTACTGGCAGCCCTCGTAACGAGTAATAGAATTTTTGTATGACCCACGATCCTTCATCTGTGAACCTCCCCCATTATTGGAATATTATGGCGGGCTGTGTTGGGATGAACAGACTAGGCCAGCAGAAAACATGAATTGCAGCAAAATCGTTGTCCCTTGTAATTGTAGACGGCTGGAAACTAAGTTGCTGATGGCCATCGACACAAATAGTTATAATAAATTTCGGTTGACGCCCTTGATATTCTCCAAATTCTAAATTGATTTCTCACGAACTGGAGTAGAAACTAGAGTATCTACCAGAAAGCAGACAGGGGATGCTGGGGAATTCACTGATGAGCCGAAACCCTTGTAGCTATGCCACGCAGTGGCAGAATATCGGCGAAACGGGTGTCTGGGCTCTTAGCTAGTACCTATGCTGCCAGTATGATAAATAAATGCGTAAGTTTTACTGTGTCCATATAGTCACATTGGCAAGGCTAGCTCGGGTGGTTTGTTCTTGTATCAAACAGCCTGAAGGCTTTGATTATCGGTGTCTCAACATCAGCGGTCAGGAGGACTGCCAGTACTATAACGTTAATCAGAGACACTGGTAGACCCGTATTGTGAAGGTTACCTCGTCCAGCCGACTTGCTTTAAAGTCAGCAACCATGATAGGCGTTGAAATTAAAATCCAATCTACATGCAGTTTTGAAATAGAATATTTTTTATGGGACTTTAACAGCATTTTCATATTTTTCGTACTTAAATTTTAATGGTACACAAGCGTGTGAACTAATTTCATGCGCAGATGTCCGCTTATCTTCTCAGAACGACTGCTTACTGTTTATTGCGTGCCCCTTGTTATCCTCGCTTGATTTTCGTACACATCAAGCATTTACTTTTTACCCGTATTAGGTATTTTCATATCATCTGCAAATACTATGTGGTGATATTCAGCTGTCGCAAATTTTGAAAAAAAATTTAGTTTGGCACATTGCCAGTTTTTTCTGATTATGCTTCAAGAAGGCAAATATATAAAACCGGTTAAAATATCTAACAAAGTAATTCCTTAACTTTTTTCTGTAATTTGTCAGGTACCGTGTCTTTTAAAGGTAATGAGTTTTCAATGTTCTCGAGTTCACCTTTTTCATATAAAATGTGGTTGTCTTATTTAGGGGTGGGTGACGACTAATATATGACCCCGCCTCTTTTTTACTCATGCTAAATACCTGGGCATGTTAGTTGGGCTGGCTTACGTTAACCCCTCCCCTCCTCTTCTGCTCATTCCCCGTCATGCCTGTCTTAAGTGTAAACATAGGCTAAGCGTTCAAATTGGGGTTAGAAATGGTTTAGGTGTTCGTAACAATTGCATATGTGGCTCCATCTAGTCGCTACTTGTAATACATACCTACTTATGTCATTTGAGCAGACCTAATAAAATGCTCCTTCGCTTTTGCCCATCCTTAGCATCCCTTCTGCAAGCATAACCGTTAGGCTGAACGTTTGACTTGGCGTCCAAAATTCATGCTACGCATAGGTTTAAAGGCTAGGTTAGGGTTAAGATTACACTTTGGAGTAAGAACTAGACTGAAGTTGACGATGAGATGATAAGCTATCAATATTGTAAACATCATTTGCGGCTATCACGAGGGTCGGAACTAACGACCTAGCACTCTTTCTTTTCCTTCAATTTCATTGGTCGCCGTGGGCTGAGACCATTTAGCTTTATCTGGTTCTCCCGTTTACAGCGCATATGCACTTTTGCTTCCCGAAAATGTCTCTACGACATCTTCATATAGCCCATCCCTAAAAACCCCTGTTATCACCAGTTCCGTATTATGAAGTCCTCGTCCCCCGTTTTTTGATTGGCACTACATATCTTCTCGTTGTTAGAGGAGTGTCATTTCTCTAATGCACGTTGTCCTAATTTTCGTTATTTGAGGCATTGTGGCCCGACTCCCCAGAAATGCCTCTACCACTTCAAATCTCTCCTCCGGCTGTAGGTAATCACTTCTCTTAGCAGTTATAGTAGGCGATTCTCCGAAAATGGCCCGAATTCCTAGGTAGCTTAGTGTTGGCGAAACTAGGAAACTGCTTCTCCTTCCCCTTGGTTTAAAGACATTGCAAACTTGCGGTAAAAAATAAAAAGTTTTAGTATGAACCGGACTCGTGTTCTTTATTTTCGCAAGAGTGAATTTTGCGAAAGTCTCGATTCTTTTGAGAGTTTTTTCAATTTTTCAATCTAAAGTATTCCAAAACGTGTATTTTCAACTATCTCAAGGAAAAACTGAAATGATGCAGTTAACACTTTCACAGCGAAGCCAAACCGCTGGAGAAGGGCTGCAATTCCGATGTTTTGAAGTCTATTTGCTAATCTCCCAAATGTCTCCGCTTGCTGACAACTTT